AAAACTATACAGATGAACAGATAAACAGATAATCAGATAAACAAATAAACAGATGACAACTAAACAGATAAAAAGAAAAGCAGATTAACAGATAAACGGTTGAACAGATAAACAGATGGAGATGAACAGATAAACAGATACAAATACAAACAGATAAACAGATGAAAAAAACAAATGAACAGACAAGCATATAAACTAATAAACAGATACAGAGATAAAGAGATGAACAATTTAACAGATGAACTGAAGAACAAATAAACAGATATTCATATGAACAGAAGAATAGATGAACAGATAAACTGGTGAACAAATAAACAGATAAACAGATATTACAGATAGATATCTCTTAATATCTACAGACAGCTTGTAAACTAGACTTAAAGTAAACTGTTTTTAGATCTAGACATCTGGATTTATTCAAATCTAGATATCTCTAGATCTCTAGATATCTTAAACAAGCTATCAAGTTATCTCAGAAGCTATTATTTAGAGAAATAAATATCTTTTAAAAAATTAATCATCGAGATGAAATTAACAAAGTGAGAAAATAGTGTTACAAAAACTTTTTATTGATTTATTGAAGTACATGAAAAGCGTGTCTGTACCCCTTCCAACCCTTTAAACTAGTAAAAATTCACACAGATGTCAAAACATTGTATCAACTCTTTCCTCCCCTCCCCCTCCCCTCTTTTTTCTCACATTTCTACTAAAAATACAGTAGCTGAAAGGGGTAAGCATTTAAATGGGTTTATTGTATATTGTGTACAGTACAGAGTGTCCCGAAATTTTGATCCATCGCGGCACTTTTTAGCAATCACAATAAAACCAGTTAAAACCATCATCAAAGATCTAAAAAGTGGACTCACATTATCTTCTGGACTCCGTTTCATATGAAGTACCGGAATGATTTTTAAGCAGAACTATTCAGAGCTAGTTCAACAGTATACATCCAGACCATAGAGGGCAGAACGGGATAGTACACCAAATTAATCAACTCCTTCTAGTAAGATTATAACGTACAGAACCTTTTAAAATAAAATATACAATATTTCTGTCAATTTTTTAGACAAAGAATACCTTTTCAAAACGTCAAAACATTTATTTTCAATTAAAAAAACAAAGACCTTGATCTGAATATTTTCTCTGAATGTTTATTGGGACACCCTACATACAGGGATACAGGTGTCAAGGATTTAATTCAAGTATTTGCATAGTGGTATGTAACACGGGGGAGGGGGGGGGATTAGGTTAAAAAATAATCAGGAAAGGGTGTGGGGTTAGTGGACAACTAAATAATAACCATTAAAAATGTAAGAAAAAATTTATCACTTATTTAGTTTTTATCTCGAATGGCTTTCCCATTTAATTCTATATTTAAAATAATTGGTTGTTGTATGTTCAATTTATAAAGAGTGGGGGGGGGGGGGAGACTGAAAAAAAGGGGGGGAAAAGTGGATAGCATTACTAAAATAAATATTATTAGTTTACTTTGTATAATTAAGAACCCGCGACCAGTTGTGAAGTTTAGGATTGGAATAATATCACACTCTTAAACTTCAGAGTAAAGGGGAAACTAAATATTTGAAGAAAAATCGAATATTTATGAATCTAAAACGGGAATAATATTCTTTATCATGGTTAAATATCTTAAATAGTGGGGAAAATACATAAATAAATCTGTTTAACAAATGTTTTCAGATACGGATGCTAAATTGACCCCCTGCCCCCCCCCCTTCCTGCCTTTTCGACCGTTTTTGGAGCAAAAAATGTCACATCTGTCCCCCTCCCCCTCCCTAAAATTGGCAAAATCAGGGAATATCGCATTGGACGCTTTTTCTATTGATTTTCAGATGAAATGGAGAAATTGTAGGTTTTCTATCTAGCGCAGAACAATTCATCAGTTTTTGCTGCTAAAATACTGTTTTACGCTGCTCTGGAAAAAGTGAAGCATTTTCCAGTATTTACGGATGGTTTAGCCGTAGCAGAGAAATAGATTGTATATATATATTTTTTCCCCTAAAAAAATCAAATACAGATCAAGTGACGTACAGATTAAATTCAACGCTTTCTGTGAAAACCAGACAAATCTTGTTATATTTGTGATAGATAAATAGTATATAACTTAAGGGAAAAAAAAGTTTATTGTTTTGGGCAAACTGTTTAATTGATTTTAAAGCTCCAATACAAAATGTAGATAATATTAATTTTATCTATGGTAAACTATGTTACGCAAGAGTTTTAGCCAAAAATTCCGATTCTCTAATCCCTAGAATCTTTGAACCCAATGTCGTAGACCTCAAATCATGAATATTTGAAATATAAGTTTAAAATATAATAAGTTTGCAGTATCAGATTGCAAATATATTGGAATTAGAATATTTGAGTTTGTGGCAAAACCCCTATTCCTTTATACTGCATTTTCATTGCTATAATTCTTCAGAAATATTTAAGTTTTAACATTTTAACTTTTTTACCTCATGGAATTTAACAAAAAATTTTTTTTTAGAAATTTTACGATAAAGAAGGTTGTATTTCATCCTGCAGGCAAGATAAAAATAGACATAATACATACGTTCACAATTATATAATATCAGCTATAGGCCTCTAGAGCGATTCGCGCAAATTATTTTCAAAACATAATTAAGCTTTCTAAGACACACCTTCTCTGAGGCTATGTTTAGCCAAAAAAAGTCTAGTAGGTTAAGCCGTTTATTGGAAACCAACATACAGATATATCAATGTGACAAATATATCTATATCAAATAATTGTGTGTGTATTGTGTGTGAATGTATATGGTTTATAGATCGAGTGTGAGAACTGGATATAAACTGTATAATATGGGAATCTATCTATCTATCTATATCTGTAAAGTAGATAGTATCTACCAATAATTGTATAAATATCCCACATTAACCAACTCTCACTGAATTACAATCAGTTTGATTATACAACCTGTAGATACATTTATATATATTATTATACAACCTGTAGATACATTTATATATATTATTATACAACCTAATCTTATTTCTTCAATCATAATTCCTCTTTTAAAAATGCGATTAAAAAGAAAAAAAAGTTTTGAATTATTAAAATGCTAAAAACTAAAACTAAAACTAAAACTACCAGAGTCACTATAATGTCGTAAAAGATTTTTTTTTCTTCAAAAGTTCGACTTTTTTAATGTCTAGATTTAAGGGCTTCTTCAAAATTAGTTTGTAGTATGAACGGAACCAATCAACTTTTTATAAAACAAGGAGAAAACTATTATAAATGCAGGGTGGCCAAAACTTTTTTGAACCCATCCGTACAAAAATCCGTACATTTTCAGAAGAAATCCGTACAATCCGTACAATTTTCGAAAAACAATCCGTACAATCCGTACAATTTTTTTTTTTTTTAAATCCGTACAATCCGTAAATTTTTTTAAACCAATCCGTATATTTTTTTAAAAATCCGTAAATTTTTTTTAAAAATCTGTACAATCAGTACAATTTTCGAAAAATATCCCATTTTTGAAAAAAAAAACATTAAAATTCAATTTTTCATTCATTGTCTTTTGTGTTCAGTTCATGTAAGAGGGTTTAAACTTCTTCAGCAAGAATCAATCTGTAAAAAATTGGCTTCATACATATATACAAACTAAATACTGGGTACATGATACTAGGTGCATGATACTGGATACTGGATACATGATACAGGGTACATGATACAGGATACAGGATACAGGATACTGGATAC